CCACACAGAAGTAGGATTAGTACTAAGGAGACACGTCCCTTGAAGATTAAACACACTTTTGTAAATAATTTCAAAAAATACAGAACCGTTAATAAACTAACAGCAATAATTGAAAATGTAAAAAAAAAAAACTGATGAAATCACCATGCAAGGGGACTACTACTCTCCACATGCACACATGCATGCATGCATACACATGTGCACACACACACACGCACATAGAACTGCTTGTAGATCAGAGAGATCCCATCTCTTTGATATGGTCAGGGTAAGAAGTCTTTTCTGTCCTCCACTTACATATCCCCAAAGGCCTTTACCTGCTCTAAACAGTAATTCAACACTGAGGCTCCACTCAAACCATATTCTATCCCTCTTTCCTTAGAAACCTTCTATATTCTATCACCCAAATCCACACGTTCAAATCCATTATTAATGTGCTTCTGTCCTGGAAGGTCCACGTAGGATAGTAGAATTTTAGAGCTGGAAGGGACTTGAGGAATCCTCTGGTAAAAACCTTCTCATTTCATAGATGAGGAAATTGAGGCCCAATTGAGTAATGAAATGACTTGGCTCAGTCCACCAAAAGAGGTGAAGTCAGGGCTGGGATTTTCCAAGGGATTTTTGACTCACCTGGTTGGTTTCACTGGTTGGAACCAGTGGAATGACCTATAGCATCACTTTGCCAATATGTTCTCTTTACTCATCAAAAGTGCCACATCTAGTATGAAAAGCAGAGATGAGAATCAGGGGAAGAATATGGCTTGGGTTCCCAATAGCTTTCTAGCTCCTGGTTCCAGCCCATTCTGCAATCCACCTGAATTTCTGCCTTTGGTTCTATAACAACCTTCTTATAATAAATTCTTCTTGTTGCTAATAGAGTAGCAAAAAATGTGATGGCTGGGTTCAAAACCTGGCTCCAACATACACCAGCAATATATTCTGGGCAGTTTCTAAAGCTCTCTGTGTCACATTGTTCTTTTCTGTAACAAGGAGAAATACTAGTATAGACTTGCCATGAGGATTAAATTTGATAATGCATTTAAAGTACTTAGCACAGTGCCTGACACTCACTTAAAAAGAGTAAGCACCCATCATGTGATAGGCACTGGTACAGAATAAACATTCACTGAGTATGCCTCCTAATATTATTAGACTAGCTCAATATGAATTCTTTTATTTGAAACTAAAGAGTCCTAATTAATAACAAAATTGTTACCAAGAGGTAGTGTCTTGAGTGAAAGACCTTTAGAACAAGCATGGAACTGGCTGAGTCAAGCAGAGAGGGGAACAATGAGGACTCCCTCCACCCAGAATGGGAAATTCTTGGCAGTCCACATGATGATGTAGCAAGCAGGTGAAGCAATTCTGTTGCTGCCAAGGATTCAGACTATGTGCCAACTGAGGGTGAAATTCTTAGGGTTTATAGCAAATGTATCAGCCTAATTCAATATAAGCCGGTTACCGCTTATAGTCTGATAAGGTTCAACAAAAGTAAAACAAGTTCCAATCCACAAATGAGCAAATGGAAGGAGAGAAAAACAAAACCAACAAACTGAAATGACAGGGGTCCAGAGCAGGAAATTAATCGTGTGTTTTGCTAAAGTGAAATGGATTAGATTGGTAAGGTGATAGGAATGCTCTGTGATCTGGCAACTGGAATGGAGACACCTGGGAGGAGTCAAAGGAGCTGAGAAATCTAAATAATTCTCACTCCCCGAACCAACCAGAGTGCACTTTCTGACTAAAACAGATGCCTCCCTTTGTAAAGAGCAATTGTTTTTCTCTCTTTTTGGTTTGCCTTTTGTAACTGAAATACATACATATATTTATTATGTAATAAACAAACAAACAAACATATACACCTCACTAGAGATCCAAGCAGTCCCCACATTTCCCAGATCTCTTGCAGATTGGTGGAGTCAGGTGATTAGTTTTGGCCTACGGATAGTGAATGAATTAAAGACTTTAAGAGCTAGTGAATGATGCTCCAGCAATCTCTGTCCTCTTGAGGTAACCTAGAAACCGTGCACTGAGATGGCTGTGTCACAAGGCCAAATAGTCCGAAGCTCCAAATTATCACATAGCATTTAGAGTGGTTTCTCATTTGTGAGTTCTGTTTTTGTGAATTCCACTGCTCACTAAAATTTGTGACCCCCAAATCAATACCTGTGGCATTTTCACAGTCATTCACAGACATGTGCGGAGTGAAAATTTGAGTTGCCCGATGTAAACATCCCCAGCTGAGGTCAAACAAGGCAACACTCCACCTTCCTCTCATACTGTAGGTAAATGTCCTTTCACAATCTATTTAGTGCCACATTTTTAGCATGTTTGTGCTTTTTGCTGGTGATTTCACTGTTTAAAATGGCCCCCAAGGTTAGTGCTGAAGCGCTTTCTAGTGTTCCTGAACACAGGAAGGCTGTGGTGTACCTTACAGAGAAAATGTGCGTTCGATAAACTTTATTCAGGCATGAGCAATGGTGCTGTTGACAGAGGTAAATGCTAATGAATCAACAACATACATTAAATAAGGTGTATTTAAACAGAAACACCTTACACAAAACACAATACATAAAACAAATGTATGTATCCCTCCACTGATATTTGAAGATGAGTGATAATTGGAGACCAAAGGGGAAAACTCTGTTCCAAAATAAAAGCTTAATGAAACCATATGAGAAAAAATTTAAATTTAGTTATATCACAACAATATCTAAACCGTAACATCACTTCCAAAATGCTCCTGAGGAGCCCTCATAGTTACCTGGCATAGAGCTTGAATTTCTTCCTTGACTTAAGAATAGTGGTGAAAATGACAGCAGGTATACTCGATCAGGGCAAGGGTATAAAGGAAGCTAGAGGAGTCATGGAGTCATTGCCAGTGGGACTTGAGCCTTAGACCCTAAAACATTTGTGTTTAGTCAGGAAAAAAAAATTATTTGTTTTTGGTTTTGAGCAGATATTATTGCATGGCTCTGGGCTACTGGAAAGATAATTTGGGGGAAAAAGTAGAAGGAGGTAAAACCACTGTCTTCATGGAAGTTATCATTTATTATTTGGTTATCTTATGGTGAACTAGTTAGGACCAGCAGGGATTTCTGTCTTGTTCATTCATTGATGTACCCGCATGCCTATAACAGTGTCTGGAACATAGGAAAAATTCAAAGGTGTTAAATAAATTCCATTCCAGTAGAATTGAAACCAGATCATTTTGTTTGAGGAAGGAGTCAAAAAATGAGGAAGCGTGCATAGACCATTCATTTGAGGTTAGCGGTAGAAAGCCAGGAGGGGATCGGTCACCACATAGCTATAAATAGTGCTTTTGAAACTTCAGTGTCCATCTGTAACATCTGATTCAATAGGCCCAGGGGCTGGGACCTAAGATTCTGCAGGTCTAACGGGTCACCAGATGAGGCCAATCCTGCTGGTCCTCAGGCCATACTTTGAGCAAAGCTATTCAAAGATGCTGGTCAAGGGGTATCACTTTGTGGATAGCATGTGTAAGAATTATTAAACAATACTTACTCTGTTCTATTATGTTTATTGTATTCTGATTGCTGTGTTCAATTCATTGATGCTCCAGTTGAGATCCTATTGAACCATTCCTTTCTTGAAATTCTATCTTGGCTCTAGGAACATTACTCTAGAATGACTATCCTGTCTCTTCTGCTCTTCTCTCTCAGGCTTCTTTTCTGGCTTCTCTTCCTCCTCCGATCCCTTAAATGTTCCTGTTTCTCAGGTATCTGTCTCCAGTCCTCTTTTCTTCTATTTGTACTTAATGGAAATCCTTTGTTATCGCTGATTCTAGTTACTCCCTTGGGGTTTCTATGTATACAATTGTGTCGAAAAATAGTATTTTCAGTCCTTCCAAATACTTATGCCACATTTCTCATTACTGGATTTTAAATACAATATTATATATTGACATTCATTTTTTAAAATTTATTTATCAAAAAAATTTCAAACTATCCTTTTATTTTCTTCATGTTTTCTTTTTAATTTTTTTGTTTGTCTTTTGGGGGGATTAATTAGGTTTATTTATTTATGTATTTATTTAATGGAGGTACAGGGAATTTGTGCATGCTAAGCATGCACTCTACCACTGAGCTATATCTTTCTCTTATTTTTAAACACTTTTGTTTTGTTCTACATTTTATGGAGAAGGACTAAAATGCTTTTCCTTGAAACATAATGTTGGTTCTTGGTTTTAGATACTCTTTACTTACTTCATTTTAAAAATTGAGATTTAATTCATATAACAAAATTTACCATTTTAAAGTATACAATTCAGTATTTCATGTGTTCTTCATACATGTACATGTTCATATATGTTAAGCACTCAATAAGTGGTAGAATTTTTAATAATAGGTATTTCTAAAGACTTCAGCCATCTAACACTATTATCTAGTGATCCTCTCTAGATAATGTCACCAGTAACTAGAAACATTAAGCATTAGCTGGATAATCCCCCTTTCAGTGATGTCCTAAAAGGCATTCCTACTTTGATAGATTAACTCTGAGGTCTCCTTCAACACTAAAAATCTATGGGACATACTGATTTGCTCCACCCGCTATGGAATGACATCACTGCTCTCAGAAATGGCAAGGAAAGAAGAAAGGGACTCTCTTTTGGCCCAGAAGCAGATGAAAATGATGTTTGATTAAAGTTAACGATGCAAAGGAGAAGCAATGTTCTTAGAGCAGCAATGGAAATAAGAGTTCTCAATTAGTTACACTTAAAGCTCCTAGGGTCTCCCTGCCCCCACCCCCTAGAGGCCCATATCCACCAGTGAGAGAGAAGGTGCAATTAGGACTCTATGAGGAAACGGAGGTTGCAGGAAGGGTGGGGGCCATAGAGACAAAGCCAAGGAAAGTGTGAGACTCAGGAGCAGCAGAAAGGGTAGAAAGCCAAGGACCACGGGCCCCACTGGCATCTGAACTAACTTTCACTTGACATTATACCTTTCAGTATCCCCTATGTCTCAGAGACAGACCACTGCACAAATTATCAGCAGTATTTATTAGACATTTATACTTTGAATTCTCCATTTCCAACTAATCCCTTCATTAATTTTTGCCAAAGATATCGAAGCCATCCATTGTGGGCTTTTTACTTGTCTTCAAAGTTCATCAGTGCCTGCACTGTAAAGAAACAGACCGTGAGGCTGGAGAGCTGAGACTATTCCGAATATACAAATGTCTGGTGAAGACCCTGCTTTTCTGGGTTCTAGGTTCCCATTCAAATCTTTACTCATCTCAACTTTAAATTAAGCCACATAAGTCTGCCCTCTTTGCCAAAGATGAATTAATCACAGTTAAAGAGGCCATCGTGCTCTCCACCCTTTCACCCTGTTCTCCCAGAACAAATGAGAAGGCAGGGCTGAGGAAAATTGGAAAGAGCAGGATAACGATGCAACATTTTGAAGTAGGCAAAGCCCCTCTGACATCCTGCTCTAACTTCCATGTTCCAATGTTATAAATTCCTCTTATTGCTCTCCTGTGCCCACGACACACACATATTCTTCTTCCTCCATTGTTACTTTCACTTTGGGTTGATTTCAACTAGGTATGAGAATAACACTAATCTTTATTATATTGAAAAAAAGTCCCTTTTGTATTTTTTAGGGGGGAAATTCATTCATCCAAATTAATCTCCAAGTGGTGCAATTTTAAGTGAGAAATTTAGGGAAAATAATTTTGAGCAGGTAGTTCTCAGGTTAAATCAAATTCTACTATTTAAATCACACATATGTCTCTCCATAGGCTACTAGAAGGGACTGAAAGGAAGTGTAGTCTGTAAATCTCTTTTAGGGGTTGAGAGCAGCAGGCTCTAGTGGACTTTCTGCTCACTGTCCAATCCCCATACCTACCTAACTTGAACCTGAGGTCCTTACTGCTCAGGTCAGAAATGTGACCTTCAAAGGGAAGAAACATGTACAAAAGGGGGGCAGGCTGCCCAAACAGAGTGACAGCCTGCCTTGTCCTAATCCCCAACAGCTGGATTTGGATACTCTCCTCTTGGGAAACAAGCTCTCAGACTTCATAGGATTTAGCTGTCCCCTTCTAGAGAAGCAGAGTTGCCAGGTCCTCACAAGGTCGGAAGAAATCATGACACAGGCCCAGAATGTGACATATCAAATCATGAATTTGCCTTTTTTAGGTGTGAGGTGGAAATTCAGAGGCTGAGATGCCAAAATAGTGAACACCCTCCTTCTCCTCAGTTACGTAGGCTACTCCAAAAGGATTTAACTCCAGGTCTCCATGACTGTCCTAAATCCATACCTGCAAATTCCTGCAACCGCTTACGCTCCTCTAGGTTATACTGAAGCTTTTCCAGCAACTCAAAATATCGGAAGAGTGAATCTCTAGGCCAAACAACACGTTCATCCTGATCCATATCCATTAACCCAGGCAGATTCTGGTGCACATGAGTCTCCCAGTCCAACTGACCTGGAGGGAGGAATGATTCTTCAAAACAAAACTAGGGGTTGGGTATAGCTCAGTGGTAGAGCACATGTTTAGTATGCACAAGGTCCTGGGTTCAATCCCCAGTTCCTCCACTAAAAAAAAAAAAAAGATTAAAAATAAAGAAAATAAAACATACATAGATTTGTGGAAGTTGGATAAGAGCTGATAAATCCTATGGAGTGTGGGGAAAAGTAGGGATGAAAGAGGATACAGGAAGCAGGGAGAAGAATGAAGAAATGTGAAGAAAGTAATCAAGACCAGAAAATCAGACTGGTGGAGAAAACTGGGAAATAGATGTAGTGGGAAAGGTCCTATTAAGACTGGGATGTCTCTAGAAAACAAACTTGTGGTTACCAAAGGGGAAATGATGAGGGAGGGATAAATTAGGAGTTGAGGATTAGCAGACACAAACCACTATCTACAGAATAGATAAATAAGGTCTTACTATATAGCACACAGAACTATATTCAATAACCACAACAGAATGCTGTGGTATATACACTGTATGGTGTATATACATTGTATACCACACACACACACACACACACACACACACACATATATGACTGAATCATTTTGCTGTAGATCAGGAACTAACACAACACTGTAAATCAACTATACTTGAATTAGGGGGAGATAAAAAGGTTGGGCTGTTGCATAGAGAAGAGAAGTCTGAATTCAAATGGGAGAAACCATCTGCTTACCAATAGGGTCCAAATATATGGACTCATAAGGAGAGGAATAGTTGGAGGATGAACAGGAGGGGGAAGAGGCAGACTTTTTCACTTCTGACTTCTTTGTTTTTGACTTAGATTCTCTTGAACCCTCTTTAGTGGCACTGTGTTTAGACTCTTCTTCAGAAGCTTCTGTTAAGTTCAAGGATTTCCCTTCTTGACTGGCATCTCTACAAGTGAAAGGGGAAATTTTTATTGCTTCAAATACATGTACCTGATATGACTAGTTCTTTCATAATTCTGGTCCTGGCCCTGGCCTAAAGTTAGGACTTAAGGCAATGAGGGTCAAACTGCTCCCAAAATCTAAGTTTATCTAACCTCTATTAGCCCATGTGATGTACCCCTATCAGTGCCCCTCACCACATAGCTTCTGTGCTCAATCTTACTCATTCTTCCACATTCCACACTCCACGGTATTTTGCCAAGTTTTAGCTCCCCACCCCTTGGTCCTATGCCTATTACATCACAACTATGGCCTGTGCCCTCTCGAGTCCATCTCTTTAAAGTAGAGTGACCTGGGGCTCAGCTGCTTTTATCTTCTCCATCTGTTCTCCATCTACAGCCGCTCCTTTAGTAAACTCTCCTGAGTTTAAATGCCTGCTAGATGGAAGTGTAAGCCTCTTAAGTGTCCAGACTTCACTCCTTAATCCAGAGTTGCATATACAACTTTTACTCACATATTCACGACTTGAAAGTCTAATGGACATCGCAATCAAAACTGAACTCTTTGCCCACCAAACCTCTCCCACCCACAGCCTTCTCCATCTCGGGAAGTCTACCCTTCCAATTGCTCAGGCCAGAACTTCCATCCTTAATTCTCTTGTACCCTACATTCAATCCACCAAGAAATCCTGTTGACTCTACTTACAAAATATACCTTTTCTCACCAGTACCATTGCTACCACTCTGGTCTGAGCCATCAACACCTCTTGCCTGGAGAGCAGTAAAGCCTCCTAACTCAGCTCTCTGCTTCTTCCCTTGTTCTATGGTCTCCCCATCTACACAGCAACCAGACTAATCCTTCTTAAAAGTAAGTCATTTCACGTCACTGCTCTGCTAAGTGCCCCGTTTCAGAGTCAAAGCCTAAGTCTTTGTAACGGCTCCCACAGCCCTACAGGATCAGGTTCCCATTCTCTCTCTGCCCTCATCTCCTATCCCTCTCCCCACCTGCTCACTCTGCTTCAGTCACAATAGCTTCCTTGCTGTTTCTCAAACACGCCAAGCATGCTTCTGGTTTAGGACCTTCACACTAGCTACTACCTCTTCCCATAGATACCCATGTAGTAATCACCTCGTCTCCTCCAAGTCTGTGCTCAGATGTTACCTTTTCAATGAGGCCACTCTGACTACCTTGTTTAAAAATATAACCCATATGCAACCCCTACCCTATGCTCCAATTCCCCTTAACATGTTCTTCCTATTTTTGCATGATGCTTACCACATTTTAATGTATTAATTTACTTATTATTATGTTCATTGTTTATTGTCTCTTTCCTTCAACTGGCATATAGCCTCATGATTACCACCATTATTGTCTATTTTGTTCACTGATATACTCCAAGCATGTAATAAATATTCAATAGTTATATGTTGAATGGATTTCTTATTGCTCCTTCTGCTTTCCTGAGCACTCAACACTCAGAGTCTTGAATAGCATCTGTATCACAGAAGGTGCTTTTATTAATTTCCTGGGGATGCTGTAACAAATTGCCGACACTTGGTAGCTTAAAACAAGACAAATCCATTTTCTCACAATTCTGGAAGTCAGAAGTCTGAAATCAACGTGCCAACAGGGCCATGCTCCTTTTGCAAGCTCTAGGGGAGAAGGTTCCTTGCTTCTTTTAGATTCTGGCAGTTAGTTGCCTGGCATCCACTGGCTCCCCCTGGCTTGTGGTTCTATCAATCCAATCTCTAGCTCTATCTTGATATCCCTTTCTCCTGTTCTCTATGTCTATGTCTTCTGTCTCTTATAAGGACCCTTGTCACTGGATTTGTGGCCCACCTGGATAATCTAGGATGATCACATCTCAAGATCCTTAATTTAATTGCATCTGCAAAGATCCTTCTTCTCAAATGAGGTCATGTTCACAGGTTCCGGGGGTTAGGACATGGGCATATCTATTTGGAGGCCACCATTCAACCCACTACAATAAACAGTTACTGAATGAAGGAATTCTCTCTCAAAGCCAGTCTTCACCTTTGGTTTTCTATCCTCTCCTTCCTCATGTGTGTCCATCCCACTTCACATACACACTCCTAACCTGGCATCCGTTTTGACAATGCTTGACTTCTGTGCCTCAGGGGCTAGGTTTTGTCTCCTACAAAACAAAACACACAAACGAGGGAAGAGAGTTATACTGAAGCAGGAGTGCAGCAAGGAAAAAAAGAAAAGAATACCGATCATAAAGAGATGAAAACTGAGTGAGGAGAACAAACTGTAGTAGAGGAATGAAAAAGAGTGGGGAAGCCCTGACAGCGGATAAAGAGTCAGACAGTGTTTCAGAGCTGGGGAATTCTAACTCTGAGGCAAATCTGTCACAAAGGGAAAAACGAGGTCAAGGCCAAGGAGTAGGAACAGGGAATGAGAGGAGGAAACCCTTGAGAACTAAAGTCGGGTTTGAAAACCAGGAAGCAGACCTCTGGATAATCTGCCACTTGAATATGTCAGCTTTGTGCTGAACCTCCAGGTGTGTCTTCTCTTCGTTCAGCTCATTCCTGATATTCTGGAAGTTAGTAACTGCCCCAAAGGGCCATGAGAAGTCAGGAGATGGTGGTGACTAGATCGGGGGAGAGGGCTCAGTGGGGAGAAACCAAGTGAAATATCCATTCCAGGCCCCACACCTTCCTGCTACATTGGGTTCTCTCTCTCCACAGTCCACCAGTCCTAACTTTCATTCTGATTTCCTCTCGGACACCCCTCCCACCAAGTTTGGCCTCTTCTATGCTTACCCATCATGGATACTATGATATTTCGAAAGACGATGGAACCAAGTAACAACAAGAGGATGACATAGATACTGCTGAAAACGCGGCTCACTTCAGGCACCTTCCAGGTATCCTGAAGCAGTGCATACCAGTGATCCATGGTGAAGAGGATGAACACCGTTACTAGGGAATTCAGCAGGTCCCTAAAGAAAAAGGAGGCGTGTTTACAGAGGGAGCGAAACCTCTCAGAAGTACTATCATTCTCACTCTTAAAGCAACATAAGAACATTTCTTTGTAGTTTTCTCTGACTTTGGCTCCTTTTCTACCATACTCAATTTTTTTAGCTAATCTTTCTTCAGTTAGAAATTGTTTTATTATGTTTTCCTTTATCATGAATAATCTATGAATATCCCTCATTATTTCATCAGTGCCTGGGGCATAGTAGGTTCTCGGTAAATAGGCACTGACTGAAGTTTTATAAACTGAATGAATCACCAACTGCATATCATTTTTCTGTAAGTTCATTTTCCACTGTTCTATGCGCTTCACCTGATGAGATCACTCACAAATATAGCAAATATCATTCCTATGTAGTTTGGTGGAATGAACTGATATAACAGAAACATGTGATCCCAAATAATGAATGATGATAAATGTATCACCAACGGTCTCAGGAAGATATCCAAATTTTCCTTCTTTCCTTCTTATGCCTCCATATATAAATTATTGAAAACATCAGGGCCAGAACAGGATGAATTCTAGAACTTTCTTAAGTCAGTAGTACTCCTACAAAACTAACTGCTAGTCTAAGATAGAGACCCGAGAGGTGCTGACAAGATTGGATTCCAATTCATAAATAAGCTCATCTCCTTTAAATCCAAATCGACTTTCTACCAAGTAATCAGTGTTTGCTAGACAAAGATCTTATCAGGATTTTACATTTGAAAGAGTATAAGTGCGTACATGTGTAATCTCCACACTTAGAGACTGGGTTAAACTAGTGACCATGTTTGAGAATCCTATTAACATTCACTGATCACCTACAATGTGTGAAATGCTGTGCTAAGTGCTGACATGTGTTACCTCGTTTATCCCCACATCCTTATGAAGCAGTACTACTTTTAATCCCAGTTTTCAAGAGATAACTGAGGCACAGAAAGCAGGGCTTAACCACTGCAGTAAAATGCTATTTAAAGATCGCTGATGAAGGTAAATTTGAATTTGCAAAACCCAGAGCAAACCTGGAACTAGGTTATTCTTACAATCAGAGCGAACACCACTCTATTTCTTTGCTTTCTCCTTCCTTCTCCTTACTGTGTTCTACTCCACTTTTTTACAATAGACTATACTTTTTGACTTATCATACTTTGGACTAGCTTCCCAGTCTCTTGTCCAAATTCTCCCCGCCCCCACCCACACCCGGGCTTCCCCCAGTCCTGCCTACGAGAAGAACATGTGGTACTCCAGGTCCTGGCGAGTTGAACGGGTGTAATTCTCGAAGAAGTAGACACCAGCCACAGCAAAAATGTAGAAGAATATGAGCAGCAACATCAAGAGGAAGGTCATGCTCTAGAGGCCACGACATTGAGTCAGAGCTGGGCCAGACTAGGCTGATCTCCATCTACAGCCCAGTCAGGGCCCCTCCCTGGAAACCCCCCTACTAAACCCTCACTTCTAGCACGAGCACAGTTATCTCTAAACCACAGCAGCTTGTCCCCAGCCCTTTCTCATCAACAACCTTTCACAGGGTCTTTCACTGCCTTCTTTCACCCACCTAGACTTCTTTCATGTTAAACCCCCACACTTATCCACCTTGCCCACTTGATTTAGCTACAGTAGTCAAATCACCTTGAGGGCCCTGACCAGGGCCAAGATAATGACTCGAACTTGACGGAATCGTGCAAAGAGTTTAAGAGACCTCAGCACCCGGCAGATCCTCAGCAACCGGAGCCATATGGATTGGCTTGTTACCCCTACCAGCAACACAACCTCAGGAAGCAGGGACTGTGGGAAACACACAGATTATGGATAAAATATACCCCAAAGCACCCATGCACAGCTGCCCCTTCTTTCTCTCTTCTTTTTCATAGTTTCTTGGGCATAATTCCTTGAACAGCAGTCTCTTGGGACTGTTTCCTATTCAGCCTTTCTATATGAAATTACTTAAACTCTGCACTTCAACTTGGTTAGATGTAAAAAGGGGATAACGCAGTGCTTATCTTGTTGGGTTGTTGTGGAGCTCAAATGAAGAAAATGCATGTGAAACAGGACAGTGCCTGGCATTTATTAAGTGCTTAGTAACTGGTAAATGTTATTGCTGGGGTTAGTGTTGTAGTTTAGATTCTGCCTTGCTCCTAATACCAACAATTCCTGCAATGACTGGCTTTTAGTTTTAGGGAGAAAAAAGGTCAAAATAAGGAAGTTAGGTACCTTTCTATTTGTTGCTTCCTGTGCTCTAATTAACTTTTCTTGCCTTTGATTCATCTAGACACAGTCCTCAGCCCAGTAAACTAATCCTCAGGATACCTATCCTTACCAGTATGGTGACAACAAAGTCAAAGACATTCCAGGCATTCTTCCAGAAGAGGGAAAAGCTGGATAGCCACATAAGAAGGATCTCAAAGATGAAAGTAAACAAGATGAACCAAGTTGCCACTTCCAGAGTCAGCTTCAGTGGCCACAACTGAGTATTTGAGGATTCTAGCACTTCTGTCAGGGTAGAGCAGAGGAGTGAAGGTTAAGGAAGCAGGAAGCTGAAGGATAGAGAATGATCAGCAACTGTTATAAACCACAGTTGTGCCCACTGCTGTGCCATTTTTCGTTGAGTTTCTCTTAACACCATTGTTGCTTCAACCTGTGAAATACAGGGGAGGACAGAATCCAATATGAAAAATAGCCACGACTCATCTCCAGCTGGTATCAGTATGGATAACAGCTGCAAGTTACTGCCTTCCCATTCTGGGGTCCCAGAGCCACCAAGGGATTGCTCTCTTAACTACTGCCAGACCCGTCTGCTGTCCTGCACCTCAGGACCAAACTTCACAAAGATGCAATGGGCTTTGACGTTGGAATGCAAATGGAGGGCCACGATGTGTAAAGTGTTTTACAAAGGATGCAGAAACAAGTCAGATTCATGGGGCATACTGAATTATAATAAGAAACTACTTGGTTCTTTGTCAGTTTTAAAACTTCTCCTTTCTTCTCTGCCTAAAATTTATTTTATTCTGTAAATCAAACAGAATCCTATTCTTGCTCTCCAGAACCCTATTATTGGCTACCTTCGATTACATAACTCATTGCCTTCATCGTTCAGCCCTCTTCACCTCTATACGTTTAGTAGATGTATATCATGCTGTAGGAAAAAAAGACATTGAGATCAAAATAGGCTTAAAAGCTAAATAATAATCTGTTTCTCTTTGAAACACAACAATCTGAGAGCCTCCAAATGCACTATGACTGATGTGCTGGGCAGCTAATGGAGATCAGAAGCACATATTCAATCACCCTGAACAACATAAATGGCTGTGGAGATTCTGACACTCAGTTTAAGTCGTTATTGTTTTTAGCAATGTTTTGGTTAATTATGTCTATAATGAAGAAACACTGATGCTGAAATACAACTTCATGAAGAACAAAAGAATAATTCTGCCAGTTTATCTCAAGACAGTCTTCATTAGATTCAATGAATTACATTCATCTGATAAAAAATTTTATATAGCACATCGAGCTATCTCTAGATCCTCAAAAATCAATGTTAAAATCATAATAATATTAAAATTAGTTTTTTGTTGGAAAAAAAAGACTATTCACATTCACAATGTGTTATTTTCAGAGAAATGCTAGCCAAATCTTTTCTTCTCTTGCTGTCACCATTTAGAAGCAAAATATGAACATTATAAAAACAAGCCAATTGTTTAAAGTTCAAAGCAGAATTACCAATATCATTGTGAAAGTAGATTTTTTTTCTATTTTTTAATGCCCTAACACATAATCAAATATCTATCTACATTTTAACATATTATATATAACAAGTATTTAACATATAATAATGTTGTAAAACTATATATCTAAATTTTTTAAAAGAAACAAAAACATTTTTAAATATAACATGTAAATTACACCTGATCCCAAAACAAACATAGTACATCACTTAAAAATTCATTTGTAGCTAAATCATAGTCTTTAAAAACAGAATGATCATTTATAAAATGGCAAAAATAAAACTTTGCTGACATTTTAAGATTATTAATTAAACACTAAAATACAACATGCAGTGATGTTGGTCTACAATATTATTTTTCCTTCAATTTTCTCCTCCATATCACATGAAAATAAAAAAATGATTAAAATTCCAAAGGAGGTTTTCAAGGTTATATATGTTTTTCTGGGAAACAAAATCACAAGACAAAAATGATTGGGAGGCTTTGATCTAGAGAACTGTTTATTAATTACTATTTTTTCCCCATCTATAATAGCATTCTTTCTGATCTGAAAAATTGCTTTTTTAATGCCTAAACAAAGTCTTAACGTTTATTACATGAACTACTCTGTTCAAAGAAATCTGTTAGTCACAAATTATTTCCCTTTGCAACATCTCTCCTGCCTTTCTACCAAGAGACTGTACTTAATAAGATACAATTTTCATGAGCTTGCCAGGTGATTCTCACTCACGGAACCCACCTGTCCTCTGGCAGTGATCATGTTGCATATTCAGCTATTTTACCAAATAGAATCGTTAGTGCTATTCTGATTTGTCCACTAGATCCAGGAAATCCTGTACATTTACTGCTATTTACTCTATTCCAAGGCTTACGTCTATATTCTTAACCCCACAAGGCAAATACTTGCCAGTTATCATGCAAGAAATAGGAAATGTGGGTGACAGTTCAAAATCTTCACCACTATGGGAAGGAAGTAAAATAGTTCAAAGTATATAATATACTGCAGTGGGTCGATGACAACAATTATTGTTGTGTATTTAAATATCTTTGACCTGATTGCATTAAAAGACTATTTTAAAAGTGAGAAAGTTCCCCAAAATGGTGAGGATGAAACAAGGAAGTGATTACTACTGTCCTTTCTGAGCAGTTTGTTTGAGATGATAATCAAATGAGCTCAATGATTCTCCAGTCTTTTTTTTAAAAAATATATTTCATATAATTTATTACTGGTTTTAGAATCATTTACTCTTTAGGTCATTTCTTGCCTCATCTAATATCTTAGTTGTACCTAATTTTACATATGTTGTGAGCTTTCTTATTTGTACTTAGATAATCTTTCTAAACATACTTGTAAAAATGTAAATGTTGGATCACTTGCTGTTAGAGGCACCAATATCTCTAACAGAAAAGATTAATTCAAACAAATATTAGACAAAACTGACATAAGAAATACAACTGGTCTTCCCATCTCCAATTCCTCGTGAGTCTATTACACCCTGCCTCTAAGTATCTAGACTACCTTATAACTACTACGCTGTATCTATTACAATGTTTCTAGGCATTAGCACTTGTGCAAATCCTACTCCAAGAGACTTAATGTAATTGTCCTTATTACAATTCAAATAACATTCAAAAAATGTAGAACAATCAATTTAAAGGCCAAATGACTCCCACCCTTTCATTCAATGTCAGTCCTCACCTATTTCAACCATCAGTACAATCGTATTCAAAAAGATGAGGAAGATGATGAAGTTTGTGAAGAAAGGACCTGTTTTCTCTTAAGGAAACATACGGAGTGGAGTTCTTTCTGATTTATGCAGGCAACATAATTAGGGCAAGAACAGAACCAGTGAGAACAAGAAAACGGAGTTTGGAAAGGGAAAAATAAGCCATTAGGGAGATAATGAGGCAAGAGAGACAGTAAAGCCCGGGATAAAAATGAATGACATGAAAGGATACACTTAAGGACCCATCCAGCCCACAAGGAAAGAGGTGGCCTCTGGCTGCAGCGCACTCGAAGGGTGCTCATCAGCCTCTGGGAGTCTGTAATCTGTTCTACACGACGAGGCTTTATGGAGAAGCGCACAAGCTGGTGTTGGTCTCCTAGCATAAGATTCTTCTGATGGGTAGGATCTATGCCAAAAATAAAAAAAGGACAGTGGATAAATATAAAGAGAAGTCTTTGGGGGATATGAAGAGCAGGTAGGACTGGGGGCAGGAATACTGGTTACATAAAGGTCCCCCTACAGCAGGGGTTGCCTTGCGTCTCCTTCACACAGCAAGTAACACTAATTTGGAGTAAGAGCTAACTATTGCTTATGACCAACAGTGTTCATGCCCAAGAATAAAGGCAGTAGGTTCAACCCTCAACTGAAGTGTCTTCGTTAGAAAATTTCAAGTCAGCCAGGGCTAGCAGTTATCCTAAGCCTAAAAGTGAAGGACATGGGTTCTACCTCCTGGATTCGGAGTTTTATTTATTTGATTTATCAAGTTTGATGTCGCTTCCAAACTAGTCACCAAAACAATCTCCTCTGAATTTTCCACCCATAAATTGTCTCTCTGCTTCCTACTCTTTTAAAGGTCTGCATGAGAGTCTTAAATTCATCCTAGTGAGGAAACAGGCTGCTGACCAAGTATCTCTCGGATAGTGTGCCGTGGCACAGCTTGGCTCAAGCCTTGCAGATGCTCGATGAGAGAGAAAGTATCAATGAGACGGGAACGAATGGCATCGGCTCGAGGCAGTTGCATGTGTCCTGCTGGGCGATAAGTGGCCATGTCTGTTGAGAAAATGAATCAAGTGTCATTTCACTTTTGGAGTTACACCAGGGATTAGAGGTTTTCTTCCCCTCCTCCGAGCCTTTTTGCCCTTAAGAAGACAAATAAACACAGACTCAAGGCTTTTTTAAAACAAAAGGAGACAGGAGTCATAACAGAGAATCTGCGCCCTTGACTCAGTGGCCAGGCACCTTCACTTGTGTGACAGTTAAAAGCTAGTTAAAAGCAGCAGCTGCGAGGGCAAGAGTCCCGGGGTTGAACAAAGAGGGATTCGGACACCACCTGGATCTGAGGCAAACCTGAGGCAAAACCTGAGATGGGAGAATGTGAGGGTTTAGAACCGCCTCCGAAAGAAAAACCAAGTGAGGAGGAATTGGACAAAATGCAACAGCCAGACATTTTGAAAATATGTCCTGTCCCAGTGTGTCCACTCCAACTCGCTCCCTCGGGTACCAGCTCTTTCTCCCGCTTCCGGGCCTCACCTCCGCCCAGGCTCTCTTCCGCCCACTCAGCCCTCACTTCACTCCTCCGCCTCTGGCTCTGGAGCCCCCTGAGCTCGGCTCTTCCCACGCGGGACGAGCTCAGGGTCGGCTCCCAGCCGCGCAACGCCGCGGTCCCGCCCGCTCCCTGGGTTCCGGCTCTCC